GTTCCAATTATCCAATTAGCCGCCATTTTGAATAATCAAATCTGCAACTTTTTAAAACTCCTTCTAGACCGTTCTACCAATTCTCATGAAACTCATGCAGTATCATCTACAGACCCTATTGAGCAAAAGTTATCAAAAGAGATTTATTTGGTCTTATGGTTTTAGAGAAATGAAAGAATAAATAAAATAGAAAACTAGCAAAAGTGGCCATATGGATATATCTTGAAAACCGTTCCGTGGATTGAGACCAAATTTCCCGTCTGTCATGATAGTCATGTCCTGAGGTTGTCTGTTGAGTTTCAACTCAGTGCCCCCTAGTGGCCAGGAGATATGAAAAATGTCTTTTTTGGCTTCTAACTTTATATCGCTTCGTCCAAAAATCATAAACTTGGTCTTAAAGTGTTCAGGTCATCATACCGAGTCAGGACATGTAAATTTTTACTAGGTCAGACATTTTAGATGTCAGCCATTTTGTTTTTTGTCAAAAATTTATGTTTTGTCTAAATATCTTATGAACCCTTTACAGGAAAATTAAAAAATTTGACACGCTGATACAGTTGGCCATAATAAGCACTCTGACCCAATTTGGAGTTTCTAGGTCATACTCTATAGTGCCACCACTAATCAAAGGTTCACAAACGTTAATGCCAATAACTCATGAAATGTGTGGTCTAAGGACAAATTTCTTTTTGCAACTGATTCAATGGTCAATGGCAATTTCAAAGAACACCATGACGTCTTGTTCCAATTATCAAATTAGCCGCCATTTTAAATAATTAAAATTGCCACTTTTTCGAACTCCTCCTAAACTGTTCATCCAATTCCCATGAAACTCATGAAATATAATCTACAGACCCAATTGACAAAAAGTTATCACTAGAAATTTATTTGGTCTAATGGTTTTAGAGAAATTAATGAATAAACATTGTGAAACTAGCAAAAAGGTCAATTGGATGTATCTTTCAAACTGTTCAGTTAAATAAGACTAAATTTGTTGGGTGTTATAAGAGCCACATGTTAAGGTTCCTTGTGGAGTTTGAATGCGGTGCCCCCTAGTGGCCAGCTGATACGAAAAATGATTTTTTTTTCAAAATCCTAAAATTTATTTTTATATTTTTGAAGCATCGTGCTGAGTCAGTTTCTTTGAATGTTTACTATGTTAGTCAATTAGATGTCAGCCATATACTTTTTTTGCTCACATGTACAGCAGATCTCTCCATGAAACTTAAAATACCTTTTTTGTTTCTTTTCAGCCTTTGTTCATCTTTTTCCCCTTCTTCATTCTGATGGCCGCTTGGCCCCGTATCACTGCTTGCAGTTATATTTAGGGGCCAAGCCACCGAAGGTGCGATGGCACCTATTGTATTTGTTGGCGTTCTTATTATTATTATTATTATTCCGCCATTGAAGTCAATGGCAGCCCCATGAACCGATTACGGGAAAGTTATGAAATTTGGCCCAAGGATTCAAATGGTCATCATAAGAAATCTGACCAAATCTGGACCCTCTAACTCAAACTCTATAGCGCCACCACTAGTCCAAAGTTTCACATATGTAAATGCCAATAACTCAAAAATTCTATGGTGTAAAAAAAAAAATTCTTTTTGCCCCTGATTCCATGGCTCATGATGATTCTAATGATCTCAGTGATCTCATTTTCCAATTATCCAATTAGCCGCCATTTTGAATATTCAAAATTGCAACTTTTTCGAACTCCTCCTAAACCGTTCATCCAATTCCCATGAAACTCATGCAGTATCATCTACAGACCCTCTTGTGCAAAAGTTATCAAAAGAAATTTATTTCATCTTATGGTTTTAGAGAAATTAACGAATAAATAAAATATAAAACTAGCAAAAATGGCCATATGGCAATATCTCTTAAACGATTCGGTGAATTGAGACCAAATTTGCTGTGTGATATAAGAGTCGTGTCCTGAGGATGCCTGCTGAGTTTCAACTCAGTGCCCCCTAGTGGTCAGGAGATACAAAAAATGTCTTTTTAGGCTAATAACTTCATATCACTTTGTCCAAATTCATAAATTTGGTCTTAAAGTGTTCAGGGCATCATAACGAGTCGGTACATGTGCATTTTTACTAGGTCAGCCATTTTTGAAGTCAGCCATTTTGTTTTTTGTCAAAAAAACGTTTTGTCCAAATGCCTTATGAACACCTTGCAGGAAAATTATAAAATTTGACAAGCTGATACAGTGGGCTATTATAAGTACTATGACCCAATCTGGAGTTTCTAGGTCATACTCTATTGCGCCACCACTAGTCCAAAATTTCACAAACATTAATGCAAATAACTCATGAAATGTGTAGTCTAAGGACAAAATTCTTTTTGCAACTGATTCCATGGTCAATATCAATTTTAACGAACACCATGACGTCTTGTTCCAATTATCCAATTAGCCGCCATTTTGAATAATCAAAACTGCAACTTTTTCTAACTCCTCCTAAACTGTTCATCCAATTCCCATGAAACTCATGAAATATAATCTACAGACCCGATTGACAAAAAGTTATCACTAGAAATTTTTTTGGTCTAATGGTTTTAGAGAAATTAATAAATAAACATTGTGAAACTAGTAAAAAGGTCAATTGGATGTCTCTCTCAAACCGTTCAGTTAAATAAGACTAAATTTGGTGGGTGTTGTAAGAGCCACGTGTTAAGGTTCCTTATGGAGTTTGAATTCGGTGCCCCCTAGTGGCCAGGATATATGAAAAATGATTTTTTTTTAAATCCTAAAATTTAATTTCATATTTTTGAAGCATCATGCTGAGTCAGTTTCTTTGAAAGTTTACTATGTTAGTTAATTAGATGTCAGCCATATAGTTTTTTTGCCCAATTTTTCTTTGCTCACATGTACTTCAGCTCTCTCGACGAAACTTAAAATACCTTTTTTTGTTTCTTTTCAGCCTTTGTTCATCTTTTTCCCCTTCTTCATTCTGATGGCCGCTTGGCCCCGTATCACTGCTTGCAGTTATATTTAGGGGCCAAGCCACCGAAGGTGCGATGGCACCTATTGTATTTGTTGGCGTTCTTATTATTATTATTATTCCGCCATTGAAGTCAATGGCAGCCCCATGAACCGATTACGGGAAAGTTATGAAATTTGGCCCAAGGATTCAAATGGTCATCATAAGAAATCTGACCAAATCTGGACCCTCTAACTCAAACTCTATAGCGCCACCACTAGTCCAAAGTTTCACATATGTAAATGCCAATAACTCAAGAATTCTATGGTGTAAAAACAAAATTCTTTTTGCCACTGATTCCATGGCTCATGATGATTCTAATGATCTCAATGATCTCATTTTCCAATTATCCAATTAGCCGCCATTTTGAATATTCAAATTTGCAACTTTTTCGAACTCCTCCTAAACCGTTCATCCAATTCCCATGAAACTCATGCAGTATCATCTACAGACCCTCTTGTGCAAAAGTTATCAAAAGAAATTTATTTCATCTTATGGTTTTAGAGAAATTAACGAATAAATAAAATAAAAAACTAGCAAAAATGGCCATATGGCAATATCTCTTAAACGATTCGGTGAATTGAGACCAAATTTGCTGTGTGATATAAGAGTCGTGTCCTGAGGATGCCTGCTGAGTTTCAACTCAGTGCCCTCTAGTGGTCAGGAGATACAAAAAATGTCTTTTTAGGTTAATAACTTCATATCACTTTGTCCAAAATTCATAAATTTGGTCTTAAAGTGTTCAGGGCATCATAACGAGTCGGTACATGTGCTATTTTACTAGGTCAGCCATTTTTGAAGTCAGCCATTTAGTTTTTTGTCAAAAATTAACGTTTTGTCCAAATGCCTTATGAACACCTTGCAGGAAAATTATAAAATTTGACACGCTGATACAGTGGGCTATTATAAGTACTATGACCCAATCTAGAGTTTCTAGGTCATACTCTATAGCGCCACCACTAGTCCAAAATTTCACAAACATTAATGCAAATAACTCATGAAATGTGTGGTCTAAGGACAAAATTATTTTTGCAACTGATTCCATGGTCAACATCAATTTTAACGAACACCAATGATGTCTTATTCCAATTATCCAATTAGCCGCCCTTTTGAATAAACAAAACTGCAACTTTTTCTAACTCCTCCTAAACTGTTTATCCAATTCCCATGAAACTCATGAAATATAATCTACAGACCCGATTGACAAAAAGTTATCACTAGAAATTTTTTTGGTCTAATGGTTTTAGAGAAATTAATGAATAAACATTGTGAAACTAGTAAAAAGGTCAATTGGATGTCTCTCTCAAACTGTTCAGTTAAATAAGACTAAATTTGGTGGGTGTTGCAAGAGCCACGTGTTATGGTTCCTTGTGGAGTTTGAATTCGGTGCCCCCTAGTGGCCAGGAGATACGAAAAATGATTTTTTTTTTTTCAAAATCCTAATATTTATTTTTATATTTTTGAAGTATCGTGCTGAGTCAGCGTCTTTGCATGTTTACTATGTTAGTCAATTAGATGTCCGCCATATACTTTTTTTTGCTCACATGTATGGCAGATCTCTCGATGAAAAATTTAAAATACCTTTTTTGTTTATTTTCAGCCTTTGTTCATCTTTTTCCCCTTCTTCATTCTGATGGCCGCTTGGCCCCGTATCACTGCTTGCAGTTATATTTATAATTGGGGTTGTTTTATGGCAAACACAACAATCCAAGAACTAGATGTCCCTTTATAGAACATTTTGCCAGAGGAATATCTTAAGACACCAGGATTATCACTGAAGCCAAACTACCAACTAGAGTTCAGATGGCATTGTCAGTAGAGCATAAGACTTTAAATCTGAGGGTCAAGGGTCCAGGTCCCTGTTTGAGAGGGCAATAACAATCCTATCTTTTGATAACACTTTAAGTACTTTTAGCAATCTCATCATACAAAGTACACGCAGTTTCTTGAGAGAAACACATTGTTGGAGGAATATTTTTAGGAACCAGGATTATTACTAAATCCAAAATGCGTTCAAGAGCCCAGATTGTTCAGTCAGTAGAGCATAAGACTTTTAATCTAATGGTCCAGGGTTCAAGTCCTTGTTTGGGCAGGGGAGAACAATTCTACCTTATGATAACAATTTAAGAACTTTTAGCAGTCTCATCGTACAAGAAGCTTTCTGCCAGAGGATAATCTTTAGAAACCAGGATTATCAGTTAAGACAACACACCAACTAGAGCCTAGATAGCTCAGTTGGTAGAGCATCAGACTTTAAATATGAGGGTCCAAGTTTAATTCCCTGTTTGGAAGAGCAAGAACAATCCGCAGTTTCTTATAAGTAAAGTATTGTAGGAGGTGGCCATTCTTAAGAAGGAAAATGTTCACTTAAACAGTATTTGTGGTAGAGTCTGGATAGGTCAGTCTGTAGAGCAAATGTCTTCCATTTCAGTTCAAGGCAATGTTTTAGTTTACAAAAAATGTTTGCAATTTT